AGCCAGCCTGTGTAGCCTTGGGCAAGGTGTACCATCCCAAATTACTAGCAGAAGAAAGGATAGGTAAACCATATCTGAATATTCTGTACCTAGAAAACCCTGTATAGAGTCACCAGAAGTCAAATTTGACTTAATGGAACATTATTATTATTATAATATAAATTCACTCATTAAGATTAGATGTTCAAAGCTATGGCACAAGAATGGCCTTTGAAGGACACACATTTTTTTCTTTCTAAGATGAGTCAAAGACATCTTAGTAGTACCTCTTACTTAATTCGCAGGGATAAACCATTGCTGTCTTCTGAGAGGCATTATTGTGAACCGTTTCTTCTTTATGGTCTATTTGAAATACAGGATCTAAATTTTTTTACGATCTATGCCACAACAGCTCAATTCTTTCTCACTATAGCCTGCTACTTTATCTTGTCTTCCTTCAACCCTATTAAGGACTTTTTTAAAAAAAAACCACAGCTATTAGTAGCAATTAGCAGTATAAAATACCATAACAATAACCTGATTCCCACAGTGTCTTGCATCTGCAGCTGTAGATTGATCCTGCCATAAATTCTTAGAGGAAATGAATAAAATAATAACCACTCAATCTCTGGAAAAATGTCAGTTGACATTGACTCATTTATGCCTTTTTTTAAAAAAAAAATTGAAACCTTGACATTTATGTTTTAAAAGGGACAGATGACTTCAAACATACAGCTACTTGTCCACATTCTCTAATAAAAATCCCATAACGTGTTTGCTGGCAAAGTGTGTCTTTATATTTTATACTGAGAGAGATGGACTAACATGGAGTGTAGCAGTAAATCTCTTAAATACATTGATGGTAAATTTGTAAAGAAAGCAAATAAACGTTTCACAAGACTATAGGGGGACCCTTGCCAAATATTTGTCACAGGATTGACTAACAGCCTCTCCTCTTTCAGTGGCCGAAATAGTAAAATTGCAGTCTGGAGGATAAAGAGAATAAGAATATGAAAAGGAATTTCAGAGCTGACTGAACACATGCATTTTGGTGATTCTTTCACCATTAGACACATTAGGCTTTACTACTGGTTCCAGATTTTGCTTTCTTTCCACCTACAATCTGCCAGGTTCCCTTCTGTCTTCTTCAGCAGCCCATCCAAGCATGTATTGTAAAAAGTCAAGGTTGGAACACTTTTTCTTTTTCAATAAATAAATAAATGTTAATCCATTCAGTTCATGGTCTTAGATGTTGAAAATCTATAAACCCTGTTTTGCAGGGATGTTCAGACCTTTGGTCAAAGAATGGATCAGGGGCCTTTTAGATTTAGAAGTGGATGAATACATAACATATATTTAC